TTGCTATTGTTCGAGGGCTGTTCGTCCGCTTCGGCGACGGGTTGCGGTTTAAAGGCGGGACGGTATCCGGCGCGGATTAGTTCTGTTTCCTGGGGATTGAACGGCCAAGCAGAAGCGAGCTGACTCGACACATGGCCAGTGCTGGGCTGACGGGGAGGGGCTGGTGAAGCCCTAGAAGTCTGCTGCGATGGCAGAGAACGGCGGAGAGGCTGCGAGGCTGGACGGGCAGCAGAAGATGTGTTGCGAATTGAAGCAGGAGCTGCGGCGGAACGATGGCCGGACTTCCGCGCGGAAAGGCGGTGGGGACTCGTGACGGAAGACATGGTGGCAGAATCACTTGGTTTGGTTGCGCGCGGGACGGAAGTCGTTCTGGCTCAACAGTTGTTACTTCTCGTCTGTTGGTTTACACACGAACGATAAAGGTACCTTTTGAGATACAGACGACCTGGGAGGGATTGGAGCAAAGAAGAAGGTGAAGAAAGTAATTAAGAGGCAGTGAGGCTTTCGACTACGGGAATATTACCCTCAAGATGGTCAGTGAATATACTCCGCAATCTTCCTACTTGCTGCCACTTCTACTGGTGATGGATCGTTAACTTCTAGTGCATGATGCAGTCTGCCTTGTTCAACTTTCAATCACTTCTGCTCGTGTTCTTGCTTATCATCTGCACGAGCACATATGCGCACTCGATGATGCCTGGGATCATGGACCGCAATCAGAGCGGGTAAGTGCTGCTGACTGCTGCTGTGTAGTGGACATCATGTCGAGTCTATGAAGTGACATGGTTCTGATTTGATATTTTCTTTCTTAGCTTCTTCGGGATCTTCTGGAAGTGTGCTCGAATTGGGGAACGGTTGAGCCCGTATGTCAGTATATGCTGCGTCGTGATGGCTGTAAGTATACCCAAGCACCTTGCGGGAACCAACCACTAGCTTAAATTGCAATGCTAATGCCCATGTTCTTGCCAGGTCTCGATCTTCTTCGGTGGCTGATCGACTCGCCCCAACTCCTTGCGGTCTCAGATTAGATGGTCATTCTACCAGGTGGTGGCGTTACTGAAGCTTCTCTTTTCGCATCTTCTTTTCTTGCAGGGGTCTCTCATGATTATTGATCTGTATATCGTACATAAATTCTACACTATCAGGATGTCTATGTTCAAAAAGGATTTTGTCCGAAACCACCGTAATCCCAGGTCCGCGCTAGAGATGCAAGAGAATAAACAGAAACAGACGGGAAACAGAAGAAAGGGTATCTCATGCGTTGGCCTTTAGACGTTGCAGGCCTCGATCGAGCAGCTGCTCAGTTTCCGCTTCGTCCAGCTGGGGAGATTCGGGGTTCGGATTGAAAGCATCCCTCCTCAAGTGTGAGGCAGATTTCAGGTCCAGCTGTTCCACAGCAATCCAGAGCTGCTCCGGATCCCGGAGGTAGCGTAGGCCCTTCATCGTGTAAGCATCGATAGACAGGCCCTGATCCTCGAGGTCCTTGATAGACTGCGCGATGGCAGATGCATTCTGCTGACTGGCAAACCCGCTGATGATGACATTCCAGGTCGTCATACTGTATACGACTCCATGCTTGGCCATCATCTCTCTCACCTTCTCAGCCGCGAGTGGCTGGTTATTGTAGATGAAAGCACTTAACAGCAGCGTCCAGGTCAAGACCGTTGGCTGCGTCTGCGTGAAAGTTGATTCAGAGCTGCCAGTCTTGGCGTCGACCTCAGTAGCAGACTGTAGCATATCTTCAACAACGCGCACAGCGGGTCGTAGCCCGTGTGCATTGTTGCGATACGCAAGCATGAACTCATTGTAGGTATGGTCGGTCGCAGCTAGAGGGGCTATATCTTTGTGGCCTTGCAACACCAATTCCCGGAACCTGGTATAGACACGTTCGACACTGCCCACGTGGGCTTGACACCGAAGCCAAGTCGCAATAACGAGATACAAGGCAATGACTGACGGTGGCGTCTTCTCGCCAGTCGTTGGAAGATCGTATTGACGAGGGACAATCGAGAGCTCCTTCAAGGGCGTTATGTCATGCAGCTCACAATACATGCGCAACAGAGAGTAGAAAATCTCCCGGCGGTCTGTAGCACCATCGAGGTGCTTCACGTTGAAAACGAAGTGGGAGTGGAAAAGCTTGCTCGCAATATAGGGGTTCTTCTTGAGCTCTGGCTGGCTTTCAAGTTCCTCCATCAAGTGTGTCATTCGCTCTCTGTCTTGACGAGCGACAGCATCGCTAAGTAGAGTCAGATAAGTGTACGAATCAAGCTGGAAGCCTTGAGCCTTCATGTGGCGTAGTACGTCAAGCCCTAATTGAGGATCCCCTGTCTTGAAGGCGTTGGAAAGTACCACGTTCATCATGTCTCGGTCGGGCTGCACCCCCATACTGAGGAGTTCGGGAAGAATGCGGAAATTGCGTCCATCCGGACCATCCACAACCGAGTCGAGGACTAAGAGCTTGCTGCAATGGCGTGAAACCGCTATCTCCATGGGGCTCTGATGTAATCTCCAAAACTGCCGCCCAGCCCTGCGCAGTGCCAGGAGTGCGTTGTCAACGTCTTTGAATTCCGTGAAGCGGCCCATGAAACCAAGGTAGGTCTCGCCCTTCAATCTATGCTTCCTGGTCTCCACAAGATCCCAAGCCTCATAGACGGCGCTACGGTCAGCCTTCTTTATGAAGAAGCGCACACCCTTCTGCGGCACATAGGAGACAGGCCACTGCATGGGATCCAAGCAGGCACGTATGACAGACTGATAGTTGTGGGAATTCTTGGCCCACCGCTGCATCTCACGAGAATGAATAGTGTCCAAATAGATTAGACAGTCCGCAATCATAGCAAAGACCGGTTTGACAGAAGCCTGACAAGTGACTAAGAGGAATTCCAAGGCCAGCTCAGGAGAGTTCCGCAACAGCCACAGCGACAATCGTCCCCAGTGGATCTCCATTTCCAGCGGAGTAAGGCCATTCCAGGCCTCACGGAACGCTCCTAGGCTGTCCATTTGAATTGTCTCCAGCAGCTCCTTATCTTTCGAATCCAGAGGGTAAGGCACCAACTCTTCCTGCACTTCTCTGCCATCGTACTTCGCTTGGAATAACTCTCTCTGCGCAAACCTCCATTTTCGAATATCATCGCCACTGCACGTATATGATCCGGACCTGATAGCCAAATCCAAGGCTTTGGTTTCTTTTCCAAAGCGTAATGTCAAGAGCGGCTTCACATCGCTGAAGCTCGCGAGGGTAGGCGGGGTACGCAAACTGCGTTTCTGCACGACGGATAGGGTAGTGTTTTTGTTGATGAGCGATAGTAAAGTTGCATTGCGAGAAGCAGCTCCGGGTGACAGAAGTGAGAACTCCCTTTTGGTAATCGAGGGCTGGTTATGAAGTACACTATTCCCTGCAGATCGGCCGAAGGTAGTTGTATGGAAGAGGCGTTGGGTCTTCATTTCCGGAATAACAGTGCTGTAGACACTGAAATGCCTCACACCATTTGAAAAATTAACTGGCTGACTGGACGTATTCGATCGCGGCGCATTGTCGACAAAGGATCTTGCATCCTGGGGTCCTTCTCTCCGTCGCCCGAGGCGGAGCCTATGCTGCGGGTTGTAGACCGGCAATCCAGCGCAGACGCGGGAACGCGGGAGATAGTGCGGACAAGGTAACATTCAGACTCACAGCTTGTTCAGCTCATATCTCGATTGAAAGTTGCGAGAACAATCACCGCGCGGGTTCGGGGCCGGGGAACGAAGGGAAGCACGATTGTTGTAGCCAATAATCTTTCCCTCCGCCGCCGGATTTTGCTCCGGCGCCTATGTGGCTGGTGCGGTACAGATGTGGCGCAGCACCGCCCGATAACCAAAGCACAAGCAAGTATCTACCGAAAGATCATTCTAGACTTCATCATCACATCGTCTCAGTTCTCGGGTGACGCGAGACCCTTTCGAAAAGACTCGGAGCTTTCTGCGGGCAGAATAAAAAGATCGCTACTCGTTTCTCACCCCGTACTTACACCGTATCGTGAAATCCTTCCCCCCGCTCGATTTTTATATCCGACCCTCCTCCCCCCGCCGTGATGTCGTCGAATCATGCTTCTCTCGATGCGGCGGCAAATGAGCGCAAAGCACGCCTTGCAAAGCTTGCTGCGCTGAAGCGGAAACAACCAGAGCCAGAGCCATTGACCGAAGCTGGTGCCGCCGATGAAGAATTGGAAGATGCTGCTCCAGATGTAACAAAGCAATACCTCTCCGGGAGGAACTACGACGCAGAAATGCGCGGCCCAAAGCTGGGCTTCGACACCGCCCCATCAGATGGTCAGATTACCGTGGAAGCGCAGGCTGCAGAAATCGCAAGGGCTACCGCAGAAAAAGCCAAGGAGGATGAGGAAGGTGACCAGCCCATTGACCTCTTCAAGCTACAGCCCAAGAAGCCGAATTGGGATCTGAAGCGGGACCTGGATGAGAAGATGAACGTCCTCAATGTTAGAACTCAGAACGCGATCGCGAAATTGGTCCGCCAACGGATAGAAGAGGCACAGCGCGCAGCTCAGGCGAAAGGAGCAGGTGCCAATGGAGGTGAACAGGGCGAGGAAGTCGGCATTGAAGGTGATATGTTGGTCCAGGGCATTCATGTCCGTGAGAGGGAAGAGGAGGAGGCAGGCAATGATCTGGAGGATGACGAGGCATGATTTTGATACCCCATGGGAAGATGTATGGTAGCAGTTGCGATTCGGTCTCATCTCTTTGCATCTTGCTTTTACAGGCGCCCACAGTTGGAGGATTTGGGACAAGTGTCGCAAGGCGTTGAGGATCTCTGCATACGGTTTACTTGGAAAAATTACTTTCAATGCATTAGCCTTCTGTATGGTCTTACTATAGTACAGTCCCCCGTTTATAATCCTTGGAGAACCAGCCCGTGGTATGAGCCTCGAAAGAGGAAAAACGCCAAACTCCCGCACATCCGTTGTCCAGTACTTTTTCTATTCAAAACCTCAAGCCAAAGACACCTAGTTGCCCAGATTCATGGACTGCGTCAACGCAAGACGCTTGCTGTAAGGACTGAGACTCCTCTCACGGGGCGGAGGCGGCGCGCGTCCTTGGCCCCGTCCGTCTTTCTGCGAATGACTCGGACCATCCCTATAATCTCTTGAAGCAGGATAGCCACGCTCTGGTCGCTTCTCTGGGGTCGCAGACCGTCTCGTCCTGGCAATCCGGCTGTGATCCACGCTCTGACTTCGGGACCTGTCTCGTCGTTCACGATCCCGTGACAGGTGTCGAGGCCGGCCTCGCTCTTCAGGGCTGGATTCTCGACGCCTCCGCCGGGTGTTCCTGTCACCCTGCCACTCACGCGATCGAGAACGAGAGTCTCTGTCCCCGGACGAGTAAGAGACCGCGGAATCATGAGAAGACGCATCGCTGTAGCGTCTCTTCCTTTGTCCAGAAACATGGGAAGAGATGGACCTTGTTCGACCATGGCCCTTTCGTGCACCATAGTCCGCATGGCGAGTGGGCGATCTTGAGTGTGATCGACTAGTCGATATCGTTGATACCGAGCTGACCGAATGTGATGATGCTGACCGAGCTCGTTTAGAGGTCTGAGTGCGACTGTCAAGAGGATCTGCCTCATCGTGCTCTCTTTTGCGACCTCGTTCTTCCTCGCGCTTAGCAAGGATCTCAGTCGCTAGTCCTTTCCTGTACGCAATTTAGCTCCTGCTCGTGACAGCTCGCTCATGAGCTCGATAAAAAGGATAGACCTACGTGCGTGATGAGTCACTAGGGACATCAGCTGAGAGTTGCGGCCGCAGTTTGGGGTTCAATAACTGCTGCGTGCGTGATGGACGAGACGTGTACGGCCGCTCTTGGGCGGTCACTTTACATTCATAGCTGTAGTGCCGTGCTGGGACCGTCAGCGAATATGAAAGTATAGTGTAGATGGTCTTTACGTATCTCGTTTCAGGCATTTTTGACACAAGGTGCTAGGAGTAGCCTTGGTAGGGCCTCTGAGGCCGGGAGCATTTCGATAGCGATTCATCCGGGGCACGTATCAAGCCAGTAGCGGATACGTAAAAGAAGCTATGGATCGGCTGCCTGTCTGAAACACAAGAACACCAAAGAGAAAAAGATCCCCGCACGCCAGGAAATCAGCCTGGATATCCCAAACCCAAGCTCTTTCCTCCCCGCGGCTGTCGCAGGCAGAATGTGGGCCGGGCCGACCAGGTTAGGCGCGCGGCTAAGCGCGGGCGGCGGCCCACGAAGGAGGAGCCAAGCGAAACCCGCCCGATTGACTTGAAGCGTTGCTCGTTCCTTCTCAGCCCAAAAGATCAAAAAGCCGGTCCAGCATCGTTGGCCTGCCCTTTTACCCACCCCCCATCCACATCCACTTTCCCCCCAAACTTGCCCTCCGGTGTTAGTGGAAGTCCAAGGGCGCTTCCGTCTCGACTCCCACTCCCTACTTTTTCCGGCTGGCTTGGTTCGTGTCCCGATCGTCTCATTGTTAGTGGAAGGAAACCTCATTTCCCCCTCTGCCCCCCAAAAGACAAGCGTTACATATCGAAAGCCATGAGCCAATCTTTCTGACCATCGTGTAAGAGCAGCCTTTTTTCTTCCTTCCTCTCTTTCTCTGCATGCTTGCCTGCATCCCATATTCCGGCTCCTGATCAGCCAGTCCTCTCTCCACCCCGCTTCTCACAGAGCACGGCTTTGTGACATTCCGACCGGACCTGACGTCGAAGCAGCTTTCCTTATGGCGACCTACGTTTTCCAGATATGTGCCGTCTTTCTTTTTGGGCTTGTGTGAAGTGGGATCTTTGAGTGGCTTTTGATCGATATTCATTTCGGCTTTTTTTTTCGTCAACACCTGAGCGGGTAGAGTGCAGTCTCTCGTCGGGTTTTCCCCTTATTCAATCCGTCCGTATCCGATCGTTTATTGTCTTAGCGGAAGGAAACGCTACAAGATTCCTGGACGTTTGGCTCAGAGAGTCACGGAATAATGGCATCCAACAGTTCCACAAGAGACGAGCATCGTCTTTCCTTTGCAAAGGTAGGTGCTGCGTTGCTAGTCGGCCAACGGCGGGTTCTCGCTGACCCGCTCAAGCAGATTGCGGCCATGCCTCCGCCATCAAATCCGGAAGTTCCCGTATCATCTGACGAGTTGAACGGCTTACAGTCCGTCGATGGCCCTTCATCATGTTCCGAACAACATGGCTCGGAAAATGTCTCCTCCAGCCAGGGAGACCCGATATCCGTCCGAAACGAGGCTGTCGCTGTTGATCGAAACGTCGACAGTCTATCGCAGGCCGTACATGGTGTCCACATCGATGACAAAAAGTACCACGACGGTCCTGTATTCTCCAATGAGGTTGCAGACAACGCTTCTCTGAAACGGGAGAACTCGTTCGAGGATGATCGTACTCATCTTTCAAACTCCTCAACCAAGCCCACGAGCTTCGATTCTAAGAGCATGGCTTCTGTAACGACATTCGCAATGGACGAAAAAGATTCTTTGCGTCCGGATGACAGTGCGAGCGTTCAGGCCATTGATGAGGAGGAGTCCCTATCTGGGCACGCCTCCGGTGCCCCGAATTCACTGACAGGGTCAGAATCAGGTGCCCGCGGATTCTTACAGAGACCAAGGGGAATTCTTCAGCCCACGGGACCTATCTTCGTTGATGGTATGCAGCGCACAAATGGTGCCATACTGCCAGACACTGTCGCCAACAATTACCCGAATGCCGATGCTTTTCAAGCAGGACGGCCTATACATGGGTTCCCGTCAGAGCCCGACGAGAAACTCCTTGAGGCTATGAAGTCCCCCAAAGACCGCCTCTTGATTCTTCAACTGGAAGAAAAGGTCCGATACTTTATACAGAATTCCAAGTAAGTCGGCCACCATGTTGCCTTTGTGGTTCTGAGTTCAGTATTCTGATGATTTCCTAGGGAGCACTCTTTGGAACTCCCGCCTTCGAACGCTTTTGGGCGGCTCCTTGCACACAAGCTGGGCGATTACTACCATCTGACGCACTTTGTTGACAATAATGTCACATCCGTCCGGCTTCATCGGACGCCTTTCTGTCGGCTGTACGTCTGCGCTGCGATCCTCACATCTTGTATGGTTGACATGTGCTAATTTTTGTAGCCCTACGCCTCTCTCAGTTCTCCACGCTGCGACTAACAGTACTCCGCCTCCCGCCATGCCTGCAATGAAGATCATGCGTCGTACCGATAGTGAGCGGCCTTCCACCGAGGGTAGCATCGCGGCAAGCTCGTCCGCTGCATCTAAGAACGGATCCGAAGCCGGGGACAGCGGAAACGACGGGGAGCGGGGATCTACCCCAGCCAAGGACAGGTTGACCTTGACTCGCGAGGAAAGGGAGGCCAAATACCAAGAAGCTAGGGAGCGAATTTTCCGTGATTTTACCGAATCCAAGAGTACCGAGAACGCCAATGGCGATTCTTCCGGTACCAATATGTCACGCTCGAGCTCAACAAGTGGACGCAAAAAGGCACAGCGCCAGAAAACTCCTCATGATGACAGTTTCGAGGTTCGATCTCAGTTCAACGCGTATTACCCGGGAATGCCTTATGCCAACGGACCAATGCCCTACGGCATGGCTGTCAACGATCCGTCTTTCCCAGCCCAACCTTGCATGGTGGGACCCGGTGTGTCGCCGCCTAGTATGGGCTACGGTCAGAGTGGCCAGACTGGTCCAATGTATTCCGGGCCCATGAACATGAATGCTATGCCACATTATTCGATGCCTGTGTCGCCTCAGATGACCCCCAGTGGCCCATGGCAGAACGGCCCTGTGCCCCAGCAGTCCCCATACTCTGGATATGCGACCATCAACCAGTCGCCCGCGATGGCATCCACTAAGTCGTCCCCTGCGTTAAGCAGTTATCCTATGCCAAACTCCGTCCAATATCAACCCAATCCTGGTTGGTCCACGCCACCTTATCCCGGCGCCTATCCACAACCATCACATCGCAATCCTCCCCCATCTGGATGGGCCGGCTATCAAACGCAGCCTCCCACACCGACATCTTATCCTTATGCTCAATATCCCGGACAGCCCATGAGCCCGGGGATGCAGGGCCACGGCGGTGCTCACCCTTTGCCCGGAAGCTTCAATAGGTCGCCTTTCAACCCACAAACCCGCTCATTTGTCCCTGGTGGTGCGACGTTAGCACGGCACCCCAGCAAGGGCAATCAGCATGGTATGAACCCATATCCCGGTATGCAGCCGGGCATGCAGCCCCAGTGGTCCGGATTCCAAGATTTGAGCAGCAAGGCTCAAGACATGCCTGGTTCAGTTGCACATGGCCCGACCCGCGGTGGGCCTTCGGGAGGCAGAGATTCTATTGCGAAGTGGGGGACACCGTCACATCTGCCACCCAAGCCACCACCGTCCGAGGTGCCTTCTGACTTTGACTTGAAACCGCGCAGTGGGCCCAGCTCGACGCATCCTTACTCGGGCAACACGCTCCCCGCCACCAAAAACGGGCCGCTAGTTGTTTCTGGCGGAGCAAGCCTGCCACGGGTCAACTGACGTGCTCCTGCCTAGGGCAGACAAATCTTTTCTTCATTAGAGTGATACTACTACTTGACTGTTTTCTACCAAAAGTACATATGGTTCAATGTTGGCGTGATGTGTTGCTGGTGACAAGGTTCCTGACGTGGCCGTTCTGTATCTCTGGAAGATTAGACATAGGAACTGTTGTGATCAGCGTCGCATCTCTTGTGGGAGAGAGAAATGATTTGATGCGTGGGAACTGGGTTTCAAGGTCCTGTCAGCGCCGCCCAACCCCTCGCTGTCGACGACTGGGATTTCGTGGGCGTTCGGGACTTGGTTGGAAACCTGAATAACTCGATGTACTTTGAGCATTGCTATGTTTGCTAGATCTTGCTGGCTTGGGAGGGGCAGGCGATAGTGCTTAGATAAATACACTGTATGACACCAAGTGTTAAAATATTGACGTAGATGTATAAGTAGTCGTCACTACCTGGAGATAATCTCGACGAAGGGGATGAACGGGTCCAATCTACATACACAACACCACTGAAACAAAACAGCTAAAATTACACAATCATGACTAGCCAAAACACAAGGCCCAAGCACACAGCAGTGAAGGTAAAGAAATAGTAAAGGTACACAGTATAAAGGCCACCTAGGCCACCACCACCACCACCACCACCACCACCATCGATCACTTACACCCTCACTCTATTGCTTCGCAGGCTTGGCCTTCCCCGCCTCCTCCTTCCCATGACCCGTGATCTCTAAGCGCTTGATCTCCCTCTCGAGATCAGAGATTCCCCCCTTCCGGAACCGCGTGACCTTGTTCACATTCATTGTGGTAAGTTCATTGAGAGTCTCCAAACCCTGAGACCGCTGTCTAGCAACTGTCCGCGCCGTCAAAGCAAACCGCATATCTTTAGGTCCATCTACCAACTCCAGGATTGCACTGGCGGCTTGATCATCCTTCTTGGGTTCGACGCGCAGAACTCGCGTGTAGCCACCGGGACGTTCGGCGTAGCGTTCACGAAGGGGACCGAAGAGCTTGGGGAGGAGTTCGTGGGGGGTCTATTGATTCATTTGGTTAGTTCAGATTGTTCGCTTTCATCTATCGTGTATTCTCCACGGTATGTATGAAATATGTCCTGAGAAAGAAATCAAAGGATAGAGGGGCAGCATCATACATAAAACGTCGACAATGCGCGCTTCCGGCTCGCTTCGGTGTTCTTCTTGCCCAGGGTGATCAGCTTCTCGGCCAGTCGTTGCGCCTCCTTGGCCTTGGCCCATGTGGTTGTGATGGATTCATGCTGGAAGAGAGAGGTGACGAGGTTGCGGAGGAGGGCCTGTCTGTGAGAGGACTTGCGGCTCAGATGGCGGAATTTGGCAGCACCTCCGGCCATAGTGTTGGTGGTGGTGAGAGTGGTTTATTTGATATGGGTTTCTTTTCGGGGCGGAGTGTGTGGATAAGCTGGCTTCGGGGGCCAGGCGGTGGGATCGGATGGATCGATTCGAAAAGACCGGATGGGATTGAAACCGGTGTGGAGGATCAATGGGATATCAGGAGTCGCCGGTTGTTTTTGGTTGTCGATGAGAGGGAAAGATGAAGCTGGAGATGGAGATGGCGGAAAGATTCGATTCGCCGCGTAGCCAATCGGAGTGCGGGTACGGCAGCCCCGACTTTCTCCTCCGTTTGGGAACATCTTTGATCTTCAATCCTTCCTTCGATCCCCCATTGTGTTCTTTTACGTCTTATAATTGGGGAATCTCTTTTGCCTGAACTGTACAGTGGTATTTGGACAAGTCGGACATATTTATTTTGTCCCTATCTCCCGTTTGGTGGTCACATCAGACGAGACCGATACTCCTCGTCGTTCCATCTCAATCAATCCCGATTGTCTGATTGTCCGCAAGGGCTTTGAAGAACCCCCGCTTTCATCTGTACACTTTACCATTCTCGACATCCTCTATTTGACTTTTGGTCAAACCATTTGTGAATATCCGGTCTTGTAATTTCGAGAATAGAGATAACATGGGCTTCTTCGCTGGCTTCGTAAGTCCCCGTTATGCCCTTACTACTCTCCCACCTCTTCATCCACTTATCCTACATCCATCCCTTCAACTCCATCCTCCGTCACATACAAATCAAACCAATCCAAAAAATCATAGCTTACGCCCAAATCAGTTCAGCGGCTTCGCCCTCACCACCTCCGTCCTGTACATCTCCCTCCAAGTACACAAAGCCAATCGCCTGGAACAGCGCAATGCCATTCGCGAACAAACGCGCGCTCTGAACTGGTTGGCCTCGTCAGCAGGCGCATACGACCGTCGCTTATTGCCTCAAGAGACCCAGAAGCGTCCGGATGAGGAAGAAGACCGGAAGACGAAACCCGTCTTGAAGGACTTCTTGAAACATCGCTGGAACCAAGAGGTGGAGACGTTGGCGAGGAAGGCGTATGAGAGTCGGTGGGAGGATGCGCGGGATACGGCTGTGGAGGGGTGGAAGACGGTGGTGCGGTTGGTGAAGAAGGAGTAGATACATTTGTGTCCTAGTGCTGCCTTTTGTTTATGGTTTGCGTTGGGTGTAGGTGTGGGTGTGGGTTTGATGGAGATGAAGTTTCAGATACCCTTTGATTTTTTGTTCTATATTTATACGTTGTTTGGATTTGATTTGTTTGACTAGCGGTATAATGCTACATTTCTTGTTTTCTTGGTTCGTGGTGATTGCTGGGTATATGAAGCAGGGCTTTGGGGGTTGTTGCCGCCTGTGTCGTGGATTCAGTATGCGGGTTGGCGCAGACTTGATGCGATTGTCTTGCGACTGCTGGTACTTGGCCACTGTATGCCGCGTTGACAGCAATGCATGTCCACTGTCAGTGGGCTAGTCGCCTCATTCTATAATACAGAGGGCTATCAAGAAGTCCCCATAGATGTCTGTATAGGCCAACAGCTAGTTCACCCAGTATCAGTCGTGGTCTGCGTCGTGGTACTCATGCTATCAGTATCACTCCAGATGTCTTTGCTCTCTCTTTCCACCGCGCGCATAGCCTGAGCGACTTCCTCCAGCTTAGCCACCACATCCAAGACACCATTATTAACCCGATCAAAGTATCGATCATTAGCTTCCCGTCTCTCTCGCGCGAGAAGAATATCCTTTTCCGTCTCCTCATCCAGATTCCGCGAGGAGCCATCCTCAGGAATAGCAGAATCACCCGGTCCAGCCGTGCTTCGCGACGCTGGTCGCAGCGACGCATTACTCTTTGCCGTGGCCGCAGCAGCAGCGGCAGCACCTTTTGTTTCCACAACCTCATCCCCGGCTTCGCTGCGCGCCCACGCCTGCGCAAGCTTCAGCTGTTTTGTCCGGAGATCTTCCAACGCCTCGGAGTGTTTCTCCCCAAAGACATGTTCGCCCGTTGCCGCGCTCAGCTCGACCTCGGACAATGCGCTCTGCATCTCCTGCCATATGGCTTCGGAACCGTCCACCTCCCCCTTAGACTGTTTGCGAGTCAGGAATGGCGAGAGGGACCCTGGAGCCTCGAGGGTTCCTGCCCGGGAGGAGCGATTGCGCTGCAGAGGCGGCCGCGGAGAGGCTCCCGTCGTCGGAACAGCGGATACCGGCGGGGGAAGAGAGAGGTTGGAGGCATTATGTGACGGCGGGCCTTGGAAGAGGACAGGCGGGGGAAGACGCTGGGCACTTATCTTCCTGGTGTCCATTTTAGGATCCATTTTGGGATCCATTCTGAGTGGAGGGTCCATGGTTGGCAGTATATTTATTTCCTTCCCTTCTTGCTATAGATTAAACATTATAGTATGGATAACAATTGAGTATCAATCGTATAGTTAAAGTTGAAGAAGAAAGGTGGTGATAGTAGTGACAGCATCCTTATCGTTATCAGGAACCACGGGGAGACAGACACAGACAGAGACGGAGAGGGCCGAAGTTTCTCCGACTCCGACCCAGCCCGAGTCCCGTGCCTCGCTTAGCGGCCGTTTAGGGCGAAGCCGCACAGCAGAACATTTTCGATCTAGTCGAGCGACCGCCGGCCGTGAAAGCGAACCCCCCCTTCGACTTTCGACAACCATCCGCCCATCCAGCCAATTTTATCCATCAGTTCGGTACGTATAGAGATACCCCCCTATTGTGAATTTATTATCACCAGTCGATATTTCCCTGGTTGCGAAAAAAAAGACACGAGAAAATCCCCCTACGCACACACAAAGTCCGCCTTATATATATCCCCGAATCTTGAGAGAGAGAAATCCGCAAACACGCCCGCCACCTGCAACTTGTCCAACTTCATCACCGAAATCTCACCCATTCATTGGAAAAATAATATAATTCTAACGGAAATTCTTGCTTTTTCTACAGTTCACCCTCCTTCGAACATAATCCGACAAGATGGGTAAGGGACAGCCCCGTGGTTTGAACGCCGCCCGCAAGCTCGCGACCACCCGTCGCGAGAACCGCTGGGCCGATCTGCACTACAAGAAGCGCCTCCTCGGTACTGCCTACAAGTCCTCTCCCTTCGGAGGTGCCTCCCACGCCAAGGGTATCGTTCTTGAGAAGGTCGGTGTTGAGGCCAAGCAGCCCAACTCCGCTATTCGCAAGTGTGTCAAGGTCCAGCTCATCAAGAACGGCAAGAAGGTTACCGCTTTCGGTGGGTGATCCTATCCTCTTCATTTCTCTTTATTTTCCCGGTTGTGGATGGATGTGTCTGGTTTGGGGGAATATATGATGGAAGTCTCTGTGTGTGGAGGACACAGACAATATGAGAGAAGGGCAAGGGGAGCATGGAATGGAGTTGGGGGCGACACCGGGAAAATACTGAATATCTGATTCTGGGTATCGATTGTGCTAACATATGGTGCTCTGTATAGTCCCCAACGACGGTTGCTTGAACTTCATCGATGAGAACGACGAGGTCCTCCTCGCCGGTTTCGGTCGTAAGGGCAAGGCCAAGGGTGATATTCCCGGTGTCCGTTTCAAGGTCGTCAAGGTCTCCGGTGTCGGTCTGCTCGCTCTCTGGAAGGAGAAGAAGGAGAAGCCCCGCTCTTAAATAACCCAAACCCTGGGGAATTTAATAAAGATGTTATTAGCGGGGTGGAAGGGGGCCCATTCCATGGAAGATGCTTCGGGGCAAAAGGCAAAGCAAACACAAGTCTATGGTCTGGAATTGATGGTTCAGGACGGATGAGACCCTGCAAAATACATACCATTTGCAGCGTACTACGATTGATATATCCATAAAAGATGGCGCCATGATTTATTTCTTTGGGAGGGCCCTAAAATTCAAATCCTTCAAAAAAATGAGTCTAGCTTTTGTCGTAGTTGTTTTTGTAGATCAAATCAGCCTTCCGGCAATCTGCGAATCTAGAACGCACATACTACTGTAGTATCTACGTCGGATGGGTGCGTCAATCGATAAGGACTGATCTCATTCATAAAGATTATCCTAGTATCCCCGCGGGTATCGTTGCGTTCCATTATCTATGCCCTTACGCCTTACTCATCTATAGCCGTACTTTTTGCATGTCATCTTGCAGCCATCTGCATTCCCTTAAGTTTTTGTTCATATGTTGATTCATTTCCATTTCCATAATCCTCAAAACCGTTAGACGTTGATATCCTCCTTGCGGTAGTGGTCCGAGACAATACGGTAAAGGTAAGATGGCGCATGGCCTCCCCTGGAATGCTTGTCAGTTCTGCAGACTTAATGGGCCAAGTTTTAGGGTAACTTACAGGTTAGTGATGTAAAGGTCGACCAGTTCCGCGGGGACATAGTCGTAGAGCGGGTTCTGAACGTCAATTTGGTCTACTAGGTCACCATCTTCGTACCCAATAACTTTGCTGACATCGCCATACTCGATCAGCGAGTCGAAGTCGAACGGGTAGACAGGGCTGAGCTTGTAGACACCGCTCACAACGACCACGGGAGTCTGGTGCACCTTGGCCGCGCGAGCGATGACTCGCGTGCCAGCCGCAGCGACCAACCCACCGTTGGCAAGGACCGAGTGTGTGCCCAAGATGACCTTGTTGACACGGGACATGAGCGCGAAGACTGCGGAGTCGGGGATGAGAATAACAGTGATGCCAAGAGCAATCAGAGGTTTCTGGAAAGCCTCGGTGCTCAGAATGTCGTCGTCCTTAGGAGCCTGTCCGCTGACAGTGGCATGAGTCGCTTCATGGTTGTTGGGATAAGATTCGGCATGAATCACGGTGAACTTGCGCTTGGCCGCAGCCTTGAGCAAGAACTTTTGGACAGTAGTCGAAGATGTGTGTGTGAGGATGATTTCGTTGGAGTGAATGTGTTCCAAGGCATAGGCCGCAATCTGGTCGTCTACCTGGCCCAACTCATCGATGATCTCGTTGATACCGTCGAGAACTTCGGCACGGATGTCTTTGTTGTGGCTTTGGCCAAGTAGGCGGCCGGACGGAGACGCGGAGGCCGGAGTGCCAGGCAAAGACGACTCAGGCTCTGGGTGTGAGAGGAGACTGAACATGGAAATGGGAGTGGCCGACAGCGAAGTAAAAGGCTGTCTGGAGGATGACCGGTCGGAACCTTCATGGCGAGAAGAGAGAACCTCGGAGGGGTCTGCAAACGGCATAAATATTAGCTCACAACAGTCCTGGTTTGATGTGCTATGAGACAGGACTGACCGTCTAGGGCACGAGGGGTCTGAGGTTGGCTTTCAGAGCCCGCTTCACTCAGAGTGAAGTCGGCCTCTCTGTCGTCTTCCGCTTCATCACGGATCAATCCGAGCACACGTCTGACAATGTTTCCGACCACCATCTCCCTAGGCTGAGCAGCCATCACGCGCCTTCCCACATGCTGGACCCGCTCGATCATCTTGTTCGCATCCGAAGTCCGAGTGGCCGAAATAACACTGCGCAGAAGGTAGGCGGTTGCGGTCGCGCATGATCTGGAATGGCGAATCTGTCTGCGCTTCAGAAGCCTAGAGGCTGGTCAGTATGTTGCACGAGCTGCTGCGACACGCGGTGATATGACGTCGAGGACGCACGAGATCAGATCCTCAATCGATGTATCAATTGGATTCGTCTTCAAGGACTTGAGGAACGACGCCAATCCAGGCGTCAGGGCCGCGGAAGTGGACGGCATGGTTGCGATTAACCGCGAAAGGGTCTCTTATTAAGTTGACTGGCAGGCTTGAAGGTCTTGACGAGCTCCAATGGCTTCCTGGTCAGGCACGCACAGTGTTAGAAGGTGGAGGAGTCATATGGTCGCGAACGGTAGCGTACCTTTGAGGTCGCTGGAAGATTTCTCGAAATTGCACCGGTTGAGGAATCTATGACCAGATCGAACCGGAGAATAACGAACTCCACGTGGGAGACTTTTTTGGGGGGGAAGAAAAGTGAGGGTGTTAGAGGGGGGAAGTCAGAGGGAGGAAGAGGAGAAGGTGGGATGTGGTGACGGCGGGAGAATTTGCCCGCTTTCTTTCGGTCTCAACTGCGCTCGGCCCAACCATACATACATACGTCCATACATACATACGTCTCAGCGTAACATACGGCCAGGCCGCTTCTCTCACTCTCTCACTCTCTCCTCTTGCTCTCCCCACACTTTCTTACTTCGGCCCATCGTTCCTCAACTTCATCCGCCGGCTGATCGGCTGCTGTCCGTCTCAACTTCCTCCTTCCCCCCCAAGCCCTTCCTCCCTCATACCTCCCTTCTCTCCGTGAGGCCTCCCTCTCGTTGTCGCCGTGAATTCCGCACGTTCGGGCTCTCCTTTCCGCCCGTCCTTTCCTCGGATCTACTTGTCGTCATTCCGCCATCCACCAGGTCGGGTAACGGTGAAATCCGAAAAAGCACGGGTTGTCGACTGGCGCATTGAGGTCCGTAGACCCCAACAGTTTCGGCTCTCTCTATCACCGCATCATGCTCCAACATCCCCGGTCCCATCACCGGCCTCGACTATCTAGCTTGCAATATTCAAATGATTGCTGACCTACGCTCCTTCTCCCTCTAGTCACCTGCGCCAGCCCAGACACCCGTGGGCCGTGTGGGAAGATGAACTCGCTCAACATCCTCTCGTCTCGAGTCATTGGCCAGTCGTCCCTCCCAGCTCGGAGCCGCCAGCGTTCCCGGTCTCAGGGAGACGTCGCCAGAGCGAGTGAGCCCGGCGATCTTGCCAAGCTTCGGTCGTACAGCGAAAGCAACTTTCACTCGACCGAGGCCCACGAGAATGGCCATGATGCGCCCGACGAGAATATAAACTACTCCCACGAAATTACGTTTGATGAGAAATCGCCCCTATTACGAAGTATACAGAAAGATGGTTCATTTGCTACGAAAAGCACCCTGGGATTCGTTGCCCAACGGTTCTTTGATGCGATTGCGGAAACGATCAAGTTCATCTTATCCACCTTGGCTGCGCCCGGTTTTTATGTTGCCCAATGTTTCGAAGACGATAACGGTCATTACTCTTTCATGGCACCTGTGAGAAAGCTACGACGGTCCGTGTCTCGCCGCCCATCCAAGTCGACTGGCTCCACGACGGCGGGTAGAGGTAGTCGACAAGCGGAGAGCAAGCGACGAACAGGTACTTCGCGACGGTCTAAAAGCAACGTTTCACGGGATTCCATCGCTTCGAGCACGTCCGAGTCGGAAGGAGATCGCCGGAGCGCCAAGGCACTCGGCAATAGTCGGTCACGAACCTCCAAGGCAAAATCGTCCAGTCCAGAACCAAGGCCAGATGAGACCGCTCCTAGACGCTCGATCCGGATCAAGCTTCATAGTGAAGAGGCACTCAAACGACAGAGGCAACGTCGGTCGCAAAGTGCTGATCTGCGCCAGACACCGGAAAATGGGGTTCAGGGTACTCTCAACCTTGACAGTCTCAAATCTCCCACGTCTCCGTCTGTGCATAGCCTCACCAGGTATCCGCATTCTCCTGTCCCTCCTCGCCCGCTGATTCCACCCCGTGTGCCGTCTTACACGGCCAACCTCCGCCTTCCCAAGAGCCCGCAAAAGACTCTAGTCCTCGATCTGGATGAGACTCTCATTCATTCCCTGGCCAAAGGCGGCCGCATGTCCAGTGGCCACATGGTTGAGGTCAAACTGTCCACGCCGATGACGACTGCACTCACACCCGGCGGACCTCCCACGACTCTGGGCCCGCAGCACCCTATTCTGTATTACGTACACAAACGACCCCACTGTGATGAGTTCTTGCGCAAGATCTCCAAGTGGTACAAGCTGGTCATCTTCACAGCCAGTGTGCAAGAGTATGCGGATCCAGTCATTGACTGGCTTGAGCAGGAGCGGAAATACTTCCAGGCGCGGTATTACCGTCAGCACTGTACTTTACGGAATGGTGCATATATCAAGGACCTCAGCTCTGTGGAGCCTGATTTGAGTAAGGTGATGATCCTGGACAACAGTCCTATGAGTTATATTTTTCACGAAGGTACGTCCCGATTTCGGCGTGGTTCTACCGCCATATTCCGGTCTGCTCTAACACCTGCAATAGATAATGCTATCCCAATTGAGGGCTGGATTAATGATCCCACGGATAATGGTCTTCTTCACCTCGTCCCCATGTTAGAAGCTTTGCAGTATGTGACCGATGTGCGGGCATTTTTGGCCTTGCGTAGAGGGGAAGCGGAAGCTTAATCTGGCGCCGAGGGGCGAGGGTGGAGGCCTTTACCAGACCATAGAAACGAAAATCAGAAAAAGGAAGAAAAAAAGAAGCAAGAAAGAGAAAGCACAGTTTGATGTTTACGGAAGTTCTTATAATGCATTCATAGCTCAGCTCAGCTCATGTAAAGAAGAGGCTGAAGGGAAAGCATGACGAGTGTTCACTGAAGCATATTGTTTGTTCCTCTCCATTCCATTACCATACCATACCCCCTCTCCTGTTTTTATCCTTTTGCCTTTATTATACTACTTCTTTGTCACCCTACAGATTCTTGTAATTCCTTTTTATTTTTTTCCATTGTCATTCTTCTTTACTATTCTCTATTCTTACATTTGTGTCATTCTGTTCCACCTTGTCTCACGAGTCAGGATCCATCCTCAACTGCTCGCCTTGCCGCCCACGAACCTCAAATACAATATACCTTCCTGTCTGAATTTTATTCATCAAGACAGCGTTGCTAACTGCCACTTTGCTTCTTCTCTTCTTTGACTGAAAGAATCAATCGGGATCGAGTTGTGAGTTTCTTACTGCTTTTGTATGTCTGTCATGTCAGTTAGCCTGGGGATAGATCATTCCATTCCATCAATGGCCTGTTGGTTCAATCGAATTAGATCTCCCGAGTCGTACTACTCTTTTCTGTTTACAAAAGCGAGAGCTGTTACAGGTAAGTAGTATACCTCGACTCAGGGACTTACGATGCTAGTAAGTTCTTATTAGTAACTACGTACTTAGTACTCGTGGATAAATATATATGCTGTAGTGGGGACAGTTACCAGTGAATAAATAGTATGGAGTAACTGTGAACTAACCGAGGGGTGATGATGGCATGACTGTCAGGGTATCACGTAATCTATACTACGTAGGAATGAATCTTTCTTTAACCTAAGTACTCCAATTATTTACTTAGATACTCATGTAGGAAGACTAATAGTAGATATACTGCAGGCCAAGTGGAGACGGAATAAATGGTAAACCCGATAGGGTACTAATATGGCAGAAGCTGTCAGTTCCTATCGCTGTTTAATTATCGTTATCGCGGCGTGTCCGACATCGGGGAATTCGGGTTGATACAAAGTATGAATATTACGACATATATTTTGTGAAATAATTTTATCCAATTTTTATTCATTTCGTGATAATTTCTTTTTGTTTGGCTTGTTCGTCTAAAATATCGTTATGGTACTAATTGATTTTACAGACCCTTGGCCTGCTTGGCCTCTGTCAAGGCTTCCTTCAAGGCAGCAATGGCCTTGTCGACATCCGAACGGTTGGGATCCGTCACGCTGACGCCCATGTGTCCGAAGCGGATGTACTTGGTGGCAACCTGCTTGTGCAGACCCGCTGCAAAGATGACGCCGCGCTTCAGCAGACCCGGCAGGACGTCCGGAGGAGCCAGACCCTCGGGCAGCCAGATGGCCGTCATGGCGTGAGCCTGGTTCTCGGGCTGGGAAGCGACCTGCTGCAGACCGAGCTCGGCGACAGCAGCCTTGACGCGGTCGGAGGCCTGGGCGTGGATGGCGTAGCGCTCCGACATGGGGCGGGCGGTGATCTGGGAGAGGGTGGTGTGCAGGGCGTGGACGAGCTGGGTGGGAGGGGTGGCGAAGTAGGAGGGCTTGAAGTTCTCATAGTTCTGCATGATGGGGAGCCAGTTGGCGATGGAGGCGTAGTAGGAGGACGGGGGCGTCTGGCGGGTCTTGAAGGTGTCGATGGCACGGCCGGACAGCATCAGGATGCTGAGGCCGGGCGGGCAGCCAATGGCCTTCTGACTGGCCGTAAGGACGACGTCAATGTCCCATTCGTCAAAAGCGATCTCTTCGCAGCCGACACTGCAGACACCGTCGACGACGATCAGGGTCTGGGGGCTGACACGGCGGACGACCTCGGCCACGCGCTTGATGTCGCTGAGGACACCAGTCGAGGTGTCGACGTGGGTGATGGTGATGATCTTGTAGGGCTTCTCCTTAAGGGCCTGCTCAATCTGCTCGAAAGAGGGGCGTTCGCCGATGGGGGCCTTGAGCTGGGTGGCATTGGCACCATAGGTTTCCAAGCAGGTAGCGAAGGAGTCGGCGAAGTAACCGGTGTGCAGAACCAGGGCATTCTCACCCTTCTCGATCAGGTTGGAGGCCACGATATCCCAGCCGAGAGTACCACTACCGGAGATGACGAAAGGCTGAGCAGCAGGGTTGGAGGACTGGAAGAGTTTCCGGACCATGGACAGGGTCTCTCCGAAGGTCTTGACGAAACCGGGGGCGACATGGCTCTCACTGGAAGCCAAGAAATCGGTCAATGAGGGGCAGATCGGAGGAAAAAGGACGAGGAGGGGAAGGGGATTGACTTACGCATAGTGAGCCATTGACTGGAGGACAGCATCATCGAATTCAATGGGCCCTGGGATCAACAGGGTGGGGTGAGGGGCTTGGGAGGACATTTTGGCGGCGGGGGGAGAGGAGTCAGTGGGAGAGGAAGGAGTCGAAGGAGTAGAAGGAGAGGTAGTCGGAGTGGAAGCAGTGCGATCGAGGGGTTTATATTCGATATCGTCGGGAGCCAACGAGTTCCTCTCGGTCGAGAAGGGAGTGTTAAGCTCCGGCAGCGGGAGTCGCTGATCCAGGTGCCTGGAAATCAGGCTCAATCGCTGCTGGGGAGTGCGTTTGGCCGCCAGGGTTGCTGATTGAATCGGCTCTCGACGGGAGAGAGCCTGCGGGGTAAAGGAAGATTGGATAACGATAACTCTCTTTTGCTTGTGATGGAGGGTGGAACAACCGTGGGTTTCCCTCGGGGATCGCCGGGCTTGGATGCAGTAATGCCAGTAATTGCTGTAATCTCTGTATTCTCCAGGCACAACTACTCACTCCCTATGGGACTTTTCCTAGTGCAATGACTGATTCCGGGTGATTTTATGCGATGGGTAAGATTGGAGACGATTTATGGGAATCGGTTTTTAAGAATTCGGGTTTTGGGGAAATAGTTGTATTTCCTCACGTTCAAAATTTTTTCCATTCCCCTTTTCCAAATTATTTCCCCTTTTTCCCTTACATTCTATCGGCCGGAAGACGCCATTCTTTCTCCAACCCGGGCGGACCCTTCCGTTCCACGATTTTCTCCGCGTTCAACAATGGCTGTGTCTGTCTTGACTCATACAAATGACATGACTAATTGACTAACTAGTGTAGTTTGACTGCACGATGGGGCCATTGTTGATTTACTTTGCATACTTCTGGGCACATTGAATGTCAGTTGTGTCTTTGTACAAATGAGACCTCAGTAACAGCCACAACCGGCGCAGTGACCCATACTACGCCGTCCTCCCTCACTGCAATGTCCATGTGGACGATCTCGGCCAATTCTCTGAAGATTCATCCTGGTGACTGACTTAACTAATTACTTACCCAAGATGTACCATCAGTCAGCACATTTCGCAGGTCTTTGTCCTTTCATTTGGAATTAGTGACCACCCGGACTGCGCAGTCCGGGCCTTCGGACTTCCCAACAACTGATTCTCCGATTCATAGCAGCAAAGATGAAATTGTCTTATTTTTTGGCCTCGCAGATGTATGTAGGAAAGCGCAAAGATGTCTGCCCGACTCTGCTGGATAGACAATAACCTGGTTGCTTACGGCGCCCACATGCTGTCGTGGAGGGGTGTTGTTGGTCTTCCATTCGATGCTGAGCTTCGGGGAGCCTTGGTTCTCTTCCAAGTGGGTCTGAGCCTCCAGCTGGACGACGACCTGCCATCCATTCCATGCAGTTTGTCTGCGTTCATTCTGGTTACATCAAAAGGAATAAATAGCTGTCCTATTCAACGTCCCTAGTCCATATCATTTCAACAGGATACTTGTCGGTTTACAGCTTGGAATCCCTTGAATCTTCTACCCCTCTCTTTACCCCTCCATCGGATCATCACAATGGCAACCCAAGAGCCTAAACCCGCAGTGGTCTGCGTTTTGTAGGCTGACCTCCCCCGGATACTTCAGTACTTGTCGAATGATAGTACTAATTCCCAATCAGCTGCGGCTCCTATCCCGGTAACTCTCCTAGCCATCTGGAAGCAGCTCGCGCGCTTGCGCAAGATTTCCACAAGCACAATGTGCAGCTGGTTTACGGTGGTGGTACCGTTGGTATCATGGGAGAGCTCGCCAAAACCCTGGTATCATTATCAGGACCAAAGTCGGTCCAGGGAATTATCCCGCAAGCCTTGGTCGAGGTCGAAGAAGGCTACAAAGGCTCAGCAGCAGACACGCAAAGCAAGGAAGGCAAGGCTGCTGAGCGTGTCGTGAACCAGTCCGTACAAGAATCCAACTTCGGCATGGTGACCATCGTCCCCGACATGCATACCCGCAAGAGATTGATGGCCCAGAAGGTCCTTGAAGGCGGTCCCGGGTCAGGCTTCGTTGCCCTTGCTGGTGGATTTGGCACCATGGAGGAACTCATGGAAATGACCACCTGGAACCAGCTTGGTATCCACAAGGCGGGCATCGTCCTACTGAACATCAACGGCTACTGGAATGGGATTCTCCAGTGGATCCAGGCCGCTGTCAAAGAGGGTCTGGTGAGCCCTGAGAATGCTCGTATCATTGCAGAGGCTACAAAGGTGGAGGAAGTTCTTAAGATGCTGAGGGACTATCAAATCAGCAGTGATCGTATGGCGTTGAACTGGGGACAAGAATAAGCGGTCGATTACTCAGCAATCTTCTACCAGCATACACGATACAACATGGCACCGCGACACCTCTAACCTGTATAGTTAAGAGTACTGAAATTGTCGCATAGAGCCTTCTATAATAGAACGACTTATGAATAGTTGTCCAGCCAAGTGACCTACAGAGGCTAACCCCGAACGGCTTGTAGGATAGGGCTTAGGGCAGCCCGGGGTGGCAGGCATCCATCGGCGGGCGTCCATAAGCTTTCCCCGCGGAGCTCCATCGCGCCGGAGGAGCAACTGATAGTCAATACGTAGCTTAATTTCCCATTACCGTTCCCATCACCGTCGCTGTCTGCTGTCCGCCTACCACTTCTCGCCAATCATACTTCCAAGATCACGCCCACTTGGAATGGGCCTTGAGTACCTGCTTGCTTGCTTCTTCTAGGATGACTTCCCGTCTAGTCCTGGTCATTGGTGACCTCTTCATCCCCGACAGAGCCCCCGTACGCATCCCCTCATCCCTTATCGCATCCTCGCAGGTTGACCTGTCTGCTGACTTGTACTCGCTAGGACCTCCCGGCCAAGGTGCGCACTTTTGCTCCATCCCTCTTGATCCTCCTCTCTGTTTCGCAATCCCCCGTTCTCGATTAACACGCGCACAGTTCCGGAAACTCCTGACGCCAGGCAAGATCGGCCAGATCCTCTGTCTCGGCAATCTCACCGATCGGAGCACCTTCGAATTCCTCCGACAGGTCGCTCCAGACTTGCAATTGGTCAAAGGCGACTTCGATGTCGATTCCCCAAACCTACCCCTCTCCAAAGTGGTGACTCACGGGAGTCTCCGCATCGGCTTTACTCATGGCCACACCATCATCCCGCCGGGGGACGCCGATGCCCTTCTGATCGCTGCACGCCAGATGGATGTCGATATACTGCTATGGGGTGGAACCCACCGCTTTGAAGCTTTTGAGTTGGAGGGGAGATTCTTTATCAACCCGGGCAGTGCCACCGGAGCCATGAGCACGGGGTACTGGCCTGAAGGGGAGGAGCCGACACCTAGTTTCTGTTTGATGGATGTAAGTCGCACAACTCTACGGGCTCGCTGCAAGACGCTTTACGTGCTCCATGCTAATGATGTATCGCAGATCCAAGGCGATGTTCTCGTGTTGTATGTTTACCAGCTGAAGACGGATGTCAACGGGGTTGAGACAGTCGCGGTCGAGAAAGTATCTTACCGCAAGAACAATATCCCTTCTTCATGAGTTGACGCTTTATAATTTCTTATTGTACATACATAGAACCAGGCACGATAATGATGTTCTTCTAACCTATGCGACTGTTGTTCATGTTGTTCATATTGAATTAGTTGATAGTGATGTATGGTTGCAATCCATGGTCTGTCCCGAACATGTCGCATCACGTAGGGCAGTAGCTGACGTATAGCATGATTCCTGCTGCAAATAAGACCCCTACCCAAGGAGATGATAGGTTCTATCGGCATTATACTGAGGACGCGGTAATTGCTACGGAGATTGACAGGCTCCTTGCTGTACGGTGGACATTCTTACGTAACTTTGATGTCCCCGAACCTAAAAGAATAGAAAAAAGACATTTACAAGTCTGCAAGCCTTGGAAAATACGTACGTAGCGATGGATTGAATCCCAACATTTGCCAATGCGACAGGAACTTGCCCGAGTCCTACTAGGGGCTCAGGATGATGTAGAGCGGTACCGACGGGAGTGGTCCAATGACAAACCTGCTAGGCCGGAAAGAGCAAGCAGTGACTTCGGCGTCGATCAACGCAAGCATCACATTTGGTTTCTGCACCCTCCAGTCACCTATCACCTATCTTACTTTCTCTACTTGAACAGGTCCTAGTTTAGTTCTAGGTGCCAGTCCTTTCTGCCCTTCTCGGACCTTTTATTTTTCCTGCAGCTTTCCCTCCCCCGCCCACTAGACCAGTTCCGCGGAAGCTATCGTTGCCGCTTGAGCTTTCATTGCGACTCAGTGACGTGAAGAAAAAACGACGCGACTCTCTCTACACCTCTTATAATAATGGCTACGGAAGAGAACGAGATCAAGGATGAGCGCCTGCAACACCAGGAGGAGGCTGGTGATGATGAGGTACGTTTGAACGGCTTGCGCTGAAAACCTGACGCTTGGTGCTTTCTTTTGCTGGTTTCTTGGCTTGCTTCTATTTGACTTTACGATTTGTCTTTACACTGGATCCAGCTAATGTGCCATTTCTTTTTTATGACTCTTAGGAGGAGATTGCGGCGATGAAGAAACGGGTAGCCGAAATGGAATCCGAGGCAGCGAAGCTACGCGAGATGCAAGCCACACTTGATCAGCAATCGGAGAACCTGCGTGAGGACAAAGAGGAGATCGACGCCCGGAGTATCTTCGTCGGCAACGTGGACTATGGTGCCTCTCCCGAGGAGATCCAGGCACACTTTCAAAGTTGCGGCTCAATAAACCGTGTTACTATCCTGCTGGACAAGTTCACGGGCCAGCCCAAGGGGTATGTTGCAGCGCATCCATCTGACAGGCAGGGAATTTCATATGCTGATATGATTTACAGATACGCCTATGTAGAATTCGCGGAACCCAGTTTAGTGGCTCAGGCCCTTGTCCTGAACGAGAGTGTCTTCCGTGGCCGGAACCTGAAGGTAGGTCGCATGATTGAGGCCACTGATCGATTGAATGATACTAATACTCTGTGGTTTACAGGTCGTTCCCAAGCGTACCAACCTGCCCGGCATGAGCCGCGGTCGTGGACGAGGTGGATTTCGCGGTGGTGGTGGTCGGGGGTACCGTGGCGGATTTGCGCCCCGTGGAGGATATCGCGGTGGCTACCGTGGCCGGGGTCGCGGCTATGCGCCCTACTAAGGGCATGGTCTGCTAGGAGGCGAAGCATGCGAGCGAATGTTAGGTGCAGACTCGACGTGGCATCGCGGTGGAGACGTCCGGTGCGACGCACAGGTCGAGGTCTGAAATGCACACATCTCTCTTGATCTAGTGAGGAAATCCTCTGGAGTTTATGGACTGGGATGTACTTTGTATGATAACCCTCGGGCAATCTCGGACTGCACCAGATGGGTGGAGCACTGAAGTCGCTTGTTTCCTTGTTGTGATATCATAAAGCCTACAGAGAGAATTTGCTTTACGACAGGAACCGTCAAGAAAAAGAAACTAGTCAAGAGGACGGACAATTGGGAATTACGGTCTTGGAACAGACAGAATAATGGAGCTGCTGTGAGTTCAGCAAAAAAAAGAAAAGAGAAATATGAGGCTCATAAAAAATCTATGTAGTAAAAGGCAGCAAGGCATTGGAATTGGCCATGCCAATAATAATAATAATACTGTAGGGAGCAAGGACGGAAGAAAAACAGGGAATAACGTCATGAGAAAAATAAATAGAAATAAATATAACTGAGTAATAAAAATCTACACCAATGAAGGACGGGATACCCAGCCAGAACAGCCCTACACTAAAACCAAATTACTACAACTAAGTACTGTGGCTTTGTCAATCACTATCGGCAAGGTCGGCATGATGTCGCATTTGGAGAGGGAATATCAAGCATCAAATAGTAAAGCGGGAAAGGGGGGACGGAGGAGCATCCAATCTCCGTCAGCAAGAGAGAGAGAGAGAGTCTAGAAAGGCCGACCCATGCGAGGCGCTGACGAGTTTATTCCTCAGAGCGGAGCAAGAGAGAGGGAATCATATCGCTTCCCTTCTTTTTTTTCTCTGCTACTTTTCCTCCCTTGGGTATTGTGCCCCACTGTGCTTGTGTAATTGACTGTAATGGTGTGAAGATATCATTCATTGATTGGTAAGTTTTAAGTTGGAAGAAGGAAGAGAAGGAGATGAACTGGAAGAGGAGGGGGGGAAGTGCAATTTTCCGTGGGAAGAATTTGGCTGCCTTGGAGGGGGGCGGAGGGATATATCTAAAATATGATTAACTTCCAGTATGTTGCAGAGTTGTGAAAGTGAAATTTGAAAATAGGCATCTATGTACTTAACTATTTATTCTTTATTGAGAGAGTATCAGTATTGAAAAAGTGACCGCGGGGCTGGTGTTTTTTGGGCGGAATTCCGGGCAGCCCAAACGATCGGAGGGAAATCATCGATACTACTATCTAGACTAGACTAGACTAGACTGGTTACTCAGTATTTTTGTAGTGACTGTAGCAAGTCACTAAGATTAACTTATTGTTTAGTATCAGATTGAAGCAGAGAGATTGATTGCATCTTCTACAGTTTATATCGCTAGAGATCGATCTATCTTTTTTTAATTCTGCCGGTGAAGAATAATAGAGAAGAGAGTCGTGCTACTTACTACTAGATACTACTACCACCACCACTAACCACTACATGACTCTAGTACATACAGAGACTAGAACAAGTTGTGCTTAGCTGCTTTGACGTCTCTCTAGTCAGTAATTAGTTAGTTAGTCGCTCGTCCTTTCTCTTTCCCTCCCCCTCCTTTCCCTTTCTCGCCACGACCATCGGAACAAGCACCAGGAGAAAAACCCACCGTTCATCCTCTGAATACTCGTGGACTCTTCCAGCCGGGCATCGTTCCCAACTAAACTTGACTAGCACACAAACGGGATACCCGTTAGTTTACTAGTTAGTAGAGGAAGAAGAAGAAGAAGATCCGCCTTTGCCCGCGCCAACCTTTCACTCGTCTCTCCCCTCCTCCCTGTTGCCTCCGGGTCAAAGTCCCACGACTTTGTCTCTGTGTGTGTGTTTGTGTGTCTCTGCCTTGTCTGCTTGACTAAGAAGTACTTAGTTAACTAAAGTTAGTTAACTTAGTTAAGTGAGTTACTTAGTAACTTCTTAAGTGGTTGCTTTGCTGCACCTCCCGGGCGAACCCCTCGCGGCCCCGTGATTGGCTCCCAAAGCGCAACGTCAGGACTGCCCTGCTCAGCCCCAAACTGGCCTGCGAGACTGACTGGAAAGACACTATCTACGACTGACTGACTGCCCGCGCCTCCTCCTTCTCCATCATCATCTAAA